GACATGAGACAAAGTATATGTGAACTGCTGTATGGAAAGTGAATTTGCTTTGTAAATCTTCACCCAAATCACAATAAAATAAAAATAAATAAATAAATAAATAAATAAAAACTTTTTCATTTTAAGGAAGTCCCATTTATCTTTTTTTTATTTTTAATGGTTTGCACTTTTGGTGACATCAGAAGGCATTTAAATATACACATAACCAGCTACATACTTATTACAAGACATAGGGGTAAAGAAAAATTGAAAATAATAGATGAGAAAAATATGGATGGAATATTAACCAAAAGAAAGGTGGGGTAAATAAATGCTAATATTAGACAAAATACTCAAACAAAAAAGCATTACTAGAAATAAAGTCACTACGTAATGACAAAAAGTTCGAATCAATAGGTAGCTAAAACAATTCTAAACTTACATGCACCTAGATAACACCAAATTATAAAGAGAAATAAATAAATATACTTCAATACTCAGAAATTTTTACGTACCTCTCTCAGTAATTGATTCAAGGAAACCTAAGATAAACAGACTATATAAGATTTAAATGTAATCAACACATCTGATCTAATAAACATACAGAGAATTCAAACTTTTAAAAATCTCACAGAACATAAAACTGACCATATAATGAGCCATAAAACAAGTCTGAATAACCATTTAAAGGACTGGATAATATAAACTATTTTCTTTAATCACAGAGCAATTAAACTCCATGGTGGAATCTGCTGTAAGCAGCTGAGTAGCTGCCTCAGGGATATGGTCTGCTTCCAATATATAAGAAGCAACTTTGAGGAAGGTCTCTAGCTTTTGACATGTTTGAATCCTGCATGTAGCCAGGTCATTATTAGCAGCCTGCCACATTGTCTCATCTTGGGACTCTTAATGGACTTGAATCAATGGCCTGCTGTGTGGTTTGGTAATATTGGGACTGTGCCTTTTTACCTGTTGACCTTGGGTTTGTCAGCCTTAGCAGCCAACAGCTGCCTGAATGAAGAAAGCCTCCAGTTTCAATGGGCCAGAACAAGAGGCAGATCTGAAGCCCAAGGTCCTGAGAGGCTTTAACTCAACCCGTAGAGCTTGGCACGTTGAATTTGGACTTCTAGACTCCAAAACTGTAATAAAATAAACTCTCGTTTGTTAATGCCATTTACCTGTGGCATTTTTCTGTTAGAGTGGCACTAGGTAACCAAACCACTACATATCACAATTTGTAGGATATAGGTAAAGCAGTAAATGGAGAGAAATGTGTAGAATCTTCTATTGCTGGCTTGGTACTGCTTGGTTATGCTGCTCCATGTGCCCTGGTGGCGTAACAGTTAAGCACTCCACTGCTAACTGAAAGGTTAGCTGTTCACCACCCAGAAGTTCCGTGGAAGATAGACCTGGAAGATAACAGTCTGGAAAATCCTATAGAGCAGTTCTACTCTGGCACATGGGATCACTATGAGTCAAAATAGACTTGAT